TAGCTGCACAGGCAAATTCTCTTGCTCTTTCCCCCCGTCACCACGGCTCAACATGCAGACCATAGCCCCACCACTTTAGAAAAAAAAAACCAGTATTCACGCTCGTACCTGAGGGGCCTCGACAGGCTTGGTCTCCTCGACCTTGGGCTCAGTAGCTTCGACAGACGACATTTTGATCGGTGTGTGCGGTAGTTCGACAGAAGAGAGAAAAACGTCTGTTGCAGAGAAGAAAAAGCCGCCGAAATCGTTAGCCTTCAACGCTCTCATTGCTCACTGCCCACCGCAACTTCCAGGCAGCCCCTCTCTTCGTGCCTGGCGTCTAGCGCCGGGCAGAGAGGGGTGGTGGGAGCTTCTCGATGGAGGGGAGGGGGCCGCAACCGAAGCCGTGGCGGGTTGCCGCGGCGAGACATACCTGTAAGGATGGAAAAGAGTTCAAAATCGGCCCGTGATATGAGATGCTGCCTTCTCTTGTATGGGTTTAGAGAAAAAGACTTGGGGAGGGTCCGAGTGGCAGATGTAGAACTGGTCCTCTTGTTGTTGTAAATTACAAGTGCGGGCTAATGAAAAAAGAGCGAGCTTTGCCCCTCCTTTCGCCCCTTCCCTGCGACGGCGGCCCAGGGTGACGGCGGGGAGCACAAGCCCAAGCCCTCCCTGATTGGGGCATGCCGCCTCGCCACGAGAATTAAGTACCTTGCCGCCCGAATTACTGGTAAAGATACCTGCTGATGCCCAGTGCCTCTCGTAGCACGGCAATCGATGCCCGTGACCTCACTGCCCGAGGTGCCACTGATGAGCGACAACAGTGATACCCATAGCTTGTAACATCACGGAATCTCTGACAAAAATACCTACTTGCCAATAGAAACACGAGTGGTATTGTTCTTTCAAATCAAATCTCTAAGCCTTTGCCATTCCTCCACCGGCGCAACCAAATTCGTAAAGCTACATACACCGTCCTACCACGGCTCACTAATAGGAAATTAAGAAAACAAAATTATCAAAATACGCAGCCAACGAGTGAAAACCCCCAAACTCCTGTATTCCATGCGTACTAGCTCTCTGATCGTGTTTGTGCCACAAGCAGAATATAATCCAAATCGGCTGCGGCCTATAGCCTGCCAAAGCTCCACAAAGCTCGGTATCGCGAGTGGGCAACTTGAGCTTCCTAGGCCCTGGCCTTGGCCCCCGACTGCAGCTTTTGCAGGAGCTTCTTGGCTGCCGTCTGTTTCTGCTGCAAGTACACCTGCGCCTGGGCAGAGTAGGCTTGATACTCTTCGTCCTTGCCTTGGATTTTGAGCCACCACATGCGAGACGACACTTGAGCATTCAATAATCCGAGTCGGAGCTCCGTCTGGACACTGCGCACCACATTGATGGATCTAGAGCATTTTTCCGAAATCTTGCTTTTGTCTTGCACCTGTTGCCAGAGCTGAGAGACAGTTTTGGTGAGAGGACCACCAACGCCAATGTTCCCGTTGATGAGCAGGTCCTGTGCTCTTTCGGTCCCAACTAGCCAGGCATGAGCGAAGGAGTCTGAAGCGGATCCCAGAACACGCCTGGCTCCAGCGAGGCATCGTTCGGCCTCGTGCGCAGCAACGGGTACTAGCTCCGACAGGTCTTGGGCTAGGCTCTTTGTTCTCTCAAAGGCGTCCACTATGATGCCCTTGCCGAAGTGTACCTTGATAGCCTTTTCCGTCTTAGGGCGGCAGCTGCTCTTTATGGAGAGGTTCACGACGCCGTATGCCTCTCGGCGAGGAAACTTGACAAGGATGCCATCGTCGACAGAAGCGAGGGTAAACCTGAGTTCCTGCGTGCTTCTCAATACAGTGACATTGAGGCAGTTGCTTGACATCCAAGTGTCCCTGACGTCTGGTGCAACATGGATCAAAACGTCATTCTGGCCATGGGGTGTAAATGATACAGTTGGCTTCCGTGAGCGAAAGAGGCCTTCATCTGGCGAACCTTGCAACGAAATCAGCGCAACTCCAGAAGTAGGGGAGCTGAGGGCCAGTGTGCTTTCGGGCTGATTCTGAGCAGAGGGTGCGAAAAACGGAGTTTGCGAAATGGTCGATGCAATGCTAGACACAACTGGCTGTGAGGCATTCCCAGCCCAGAGTACGACTGTCTGGATAGCCATAGTCATCGCAATGAGAATCAGAAGGCTTGTAAGGGTAGTGAATGCCACCTGTGCGATAGAGTCAGACAGGCCATGGGTCCATACAAGCCACCTGGTGAGGAAGTTTCTCTTCGAGAGATCATCTGCAGGCCCAAAGTATCGACTGGCATCGGGGGTCAGAATCGAGGGTGTACGCAGGCTATTATCTGCATATTCAAGAGACGCTTTGGAGGAGTTGTCATCGTCGTCAGTATCGTCTGCGGCGGCGGAGTGCTGCATCTGGAAATGGTTAAGCTCTGGGCCGCGGGTGAGATGATGCTCTTCGGTTGCATCAACGATGGACTCTTCATCGCATGTGTGCTCTGTGCCAGCAAGGCTGACCACATCATCTGGACGGCGGAAGTCGAGCGAGCCGACCGACTCGCTGATGTTGTCCGTGTAATTGCCGTCTTGAGACTCGGAATCGGTGCCTCCTATCAACTCGTACGTAGACTCGGACAAGCCGGAATCTTCGACCGGAGCGCTCGTCAGATGCATGATGTCTGGATCGCTGCTAGAAATCCAGTGGGCAAGGTTTTGGTTGCCTTGCGGCCGGGGAAATCGGAGGGTGGGTTCGGAGAAGGATAGCTGAGGCTCTGGGGAATCTTGCTGCAACAGAGGTCTCGGCAGCGGAGAGAAAATCTGTGTATCGCGGCGAGTTTTCGGGGACGGTGAGGTCGACGGGATCTCAGTATCCTGCTGTCCCATAACGAAGCACACAGGTCAGCAAGATCAAGTCAGCGGATGGCGGCCATGCAGAGGCCCATGGGCTTATATGATCGCGGCCGCTGAAGGAGGGGTGCAAGTGCGGGCAACACTGACCACCATGTAGAAGGTGCGATGAAAAGTTGAAAAGTGAAAAGAGGGAGGCGGAGGCTTTTAGATGTAGTGGCAAAGCACAGAGTTCATCTATAGGAAGCCAAATGGCAGATTTGTGGCGGAGGTTGACTTTGCGGCTGTTTGTAACCTGATGCTGCCTGATGGCGATTGGGTGGGGTTGACGCCTGGGGCTTGTATAGCTTGAGAGAGCGAAGGCCGGCGTGTCGACAAATCGGCGAATTTTTTTATTTGCAGGATGATGTAGATGAGCAAACAAGATAGACCTGTATCGTGCCAGGGACTGGGTAGGTTTGTCGGTACCTGGTCATCTGCGGAGAAATGTGCAACGTCGGCTGGTTGGTGGCGATGCCCGTGCTGCCGTGAATGACTTGAGGCGGGAAAGGCGTGCGCGTGCAGCCCGAGCTTGCTTATGAGCGGTGGCGTAGAGTGAGGCGAGAAGCGGAGGACGAAATCAAATACAGAATCAGAGTCTTTTTATCTAATGGCAAAATGCGAGAGCAAGAGGAAGTGAGCAAGATGGAAGAAGCGTTTCAGGCTGTCTGTATTCACCTTGGAAGGTGGGATGGGATGCATGCACGGAGGGAGACTGCACTAGCAGAGGTCTGGGCAGGACGCGATGGCGGGCGGCGCAATCGATTTCACACTGTAGGTAGGTACAGTGAGTAAGCGTGGGCAGGGCCGCCAACCGCGAGTACTGAGCAAACACATCTACTGTACGGCAAGCACTGTACAGCACCTACACACTTGCCCCCGGCCGAGGCAGGGCGCTGCTATTCGCTGAGGGCGCAGATAGTGCAGAATACCCCTCGCCTGAACATGGGCCACATGACGGGATGCGTGGATAAGACTCGACCAGATTTCGCCGCAAGACAAGAGCTAGCAGGGTCGCGAATTTAGGGCGTTTAACTAGGACATGTTCGTCGCCGCATGGCTGGACAACCAGGTGCATACGTGCTAAAGATGGAGGGGCAGAGGACACGCGTAGAGACCGAAGGTTAGAAATCACGTCGTGTCCTCTGTACAAGCTGACTTGTCCCCGGCATTCAGAGCACATGGCAAACTTGCTACATTGCATCTTTTACATGACAATGTCCATCTAGTAGACTATTTGGAAATGATGACGTTTCACGGCTCCCCTGCCTAATAGGTAAAAGCTTAGTACATGGCACAGCGCCATCACTTATCACTGCCGCCCTCCAGTGGGCCCAGAAGCGCTGCGGGGTTGGCGCTGAGATGTCGTTGCCCCTCCTTCCATTTCAGTTTCACAGCGAGGACCCCTACCGGAGTACGTACGTACCTCACTCACTCTACAAGACGCCGCCCGGACTAGACTAGAGTGCCATTGACACATCACGCGACACGCCTGATTTGACTACCCTGGTAGGCCCAAGCCAACGCATCACCACTTGAAGAATGGGGCATTTTCTCTGTGCGTTTGATTTTGTAACTTATTGAGTTGGCTCATTCTATCTCTGATTGACCGCGTTCCAGCCATTTCAACAAAGCCCAGAAGCAAGCCAGCTTCACTGCAGTATGTAAGAGGAAGAAACAACAAAGAAAAAAAAAGGCATTTGTAAAACACAAAAAACTCCATGTGTTATATATAATCCATTTGCACAACAGAAATCCCAAACCTGCCCATCTTATGCGGGGATACAGTCTCTACAACCAGTGGAGTAAAAACGTTTTTGTAACAACAAAGAAGAAAAAAAAAGGTGAAGCAATGTAGACGGCGTCAACGCCGCTGGTAGGCCCCCAAAAATGCAAATATCGCATCTCCGAAGAATTATGGTGACGAGGATATCGTAGAAATTGCCGCCGAACAGCTCGTCAAAGGACAGGCCTCAACTCGCGCTGACGAGAGCGTGGCAGTGGCATAGGGGTATCGTTACGTATAGCGTCATTACGAGCAGTGGACTAATTTGCTCTGTTGCTGCGTCGATCGACGACACAGCGAGTCTCGTTTTCGAAAATGGAGAAAACGTCGAACTAGGGAGCGGATTGCTTACAGTACCCGGTGCTGCTGAAGGATCCTCTTGAGGGACGCCGAATCGAAGCTGTCATCGTCGGGCATCATCTCAATGATACCCGTCAGGTTGGCCACCAGATCACCTTGATTTCGGTACGCTAGCAGCGCAGGTACGGCTGCTGGGTCAAACTCAATGTCGTCGTAGTGCACCTTGACAAAGTGCGTGGTAGGATTGACGCGTACCAGCGGTACAAGAGCGTCTTCAATGGTTGCTGATACCTCACACTGAAGTTGAATGACATGTTAGTGACTCTGCTGTACGCATTGCATTGTAGCCTTGTGTGCTGTGTGGCTGCTTACCTCATTGTCATACACGAAGACAACTACCGTCGTGTCGCGGCTGACCTTTTCAATGGCGTCGAGGTAGCCCATAGCATCCACCTCGTCGAAACGGCCGAAGATGCGCACGCTGGGACTGGTCTTTCTCGTGCGTACGGCGCGGTTGGCGGCGCTTTCCAGCTCCCGCCGGCGACTCTCGCGCCACTCGCTCAGAAAGTTGTCCTCGTCGTTACTCTTGGCGTCGTCGTCCGTCTCGCTGTCGGATCGAGCACCGCCGGTGATGGTGACGCTGTTGCCGGTGGCGGGGGCCACGCCTGCGAAACCGAGAATGCTCCGGCGAGCGTTGCGGGCACGGTCAATCCATTTCGTCTTGCGCGCCGTCTCAAAGCTGCGAGCATCGGCAATGACACCCTTGACGCCGGTGAAGCGACCGCTGTCAAAGGACGCGGGCGGCAGCTTGAGCTCCGAGGCGGCAGTAGGTGTGCGCATGGCGGCGTCAATTTGCGTGTTGCGATACGTATCCTCCTCGTCGAGGTCCTGGTCAGACTGGTCGTTGTCGTGCTTGTCTTCGGGATGTGCGTTGGTTCGGGCCGTATTGTTAGAAACCAGTTGGTTGAATTCGTCTTGGGCGGCCGTAGTCGAAGCCATATGGGGAAGACAGATGTGCAGACTCTCCGCAAAGAGAGCCTGCGAAAGCCGGGAAGGGCAGGTATATCAAGTATTTGAGCAGCGACTGGGGGGAGGGGTGTGCAGCTGGGCCGAGGCGACCAAGGTAGATCCTGTGGGAGAGTATTCACTGGTACGACGGGGTGCGGGAAGAGCTGGCGGTGGGCTGATCCTATTTGGGCGTCTGCGGTGCGGCAGGTGTAATATGTCGAATGGGACTAATAAGGTCCAGGAGACAATAAAAAGGTGAGCAAGAGACGATGTGAGTGGACGTTGACGGGGGAAAAAAAGCTGCGAGTCGGCGCGCCGGCGCAGATTGAAGCTGAGGAAGCAGGGCACGGAACTGCGTTGAGGACGGAGGCGTGTGGTGGAGCACCTGGCAGGGCAGAATGCAGAGGGGGAGGGGTGTGGCTTGGGGGTGTCGGCGTCTTACTGTGCTGAAGCGCTCGGGAGAGAGGGCGCAGGGCGAAGAGGACGAAGAGGAAAGAAATGAAGCTGGCCGCGGGATAGCTTTACTCGAGAAAAGGAGGCATGGTGATGGATATTTATTTTGTGTTGTTGGCTTTGTTTGAAGCCGTTTGTTGTGCTACTGGTGTTTGTGGTCGTCCAAGTCACAGACGCACAAAATACTGGCAGCTGGAACGGTTTGCACGACGCGACGCCTCCTGTGGCGGGAGTCTTACCACTCTTGGTGAGCGACTCGCTGGAAGAATCGTCCATTCTTACAGTGGACTTGCACGTGTCACAGTGGACTCGGCGCCTGGAAGGAGTGCTGGAAGAAGCATGGGTTCGTGAATATCAGCGCCACATCCCCGCTCATGCACCCGCCACGCTGCTGACATTTACACTTGCACCTCTCCATGTTTCAACCTGCGGCTCCCAAGATGCAAACGGCACTGGTCAACAAGCATCAGTAGTGCGGCCCAATCATCGCCGATATTACAAGCCGAGCAGCCACAGTCAAGCCATCACGAATCATTCAGTCTTGGCTCATCAATGACAACAGGGCCCTCCAACCCTCCATCTCGACACAAGCCGTCGTCCACCCACTTCATCCAGCGACACGTTGTGGCGTCTGAGCCGAGTGCACTTCTAGAAGTAGATCGGCGGTCGGCAGCCCGTGTTTGCTGAACCAGATTCCTGCGTCTTGGATCCCCCTCGTGAACAATCTCATCACTCCTACGAATAGTCCAAAAATATATGCCATCCTGGTTCTGCCAGGGAACCGCAGGGATTTACGTACCTCGCGAGGCATGCCGCGGAAACACTCTCCGCGTCATGGACCAAGACCGTCGCTTCCAGGACTCGACAATGCACACATCCTGTCCCTTTTCGCATTGCTTCTAGAATGAATGCAGACGCCGTAATATGCCCAATGTTGCCCGGTCTCGCCTTTGCCGGTGGCCAGGGTCTCTGACAGACGCACGCGCCAGTTTCATGCTACCAACAAGACAAGCTATCGACTAAAGACAATTATACCCCATTATTTGTTATTCGATAACCCGACTCTAATAAGCACCAATGTCCCGTAATTATCGGCTTGCAGCAGGTGCGGCATCGACATCAGCGAAGCAGAAGGAAAGAAATCGACTCGGCATCTGGGCTAACCGGCGGAGCACCATCAGCACCAAGCGCTGCAGGACGGTCCAAATAACGTGGCTCCCAAATTACGATCGTCCCCAACGCAGCTCGCGGATGCAGCCGACTACCCTTGCCCGGCAAGTAAGCAGCTTCTTTCGGCTACGACTCAGGAGCCGTGCATTTGGCAACACTCACCGCTGCTGCCCTGTAACAATCTGACCATCGACCGGAAAGTTCGTGATGCGATGTGGGCAAGGCCAAATACCACGCCAAAACTCCTTGACGCTCGTGAAAGGGGGGTTCGGGGAAGGCGCAGGATTGCGGTTTCTCGCATTGATCATGGTGCTTCCGAAAAGCATGGCTACTCATTTGATTCGACGCGACATGACGGCTGCCGTTGACTTTGCTAAAAGAGTCACATTACCAGATGGTGGCCCAATCACTGTCCCCTTTGTGAGTTGTCGCCGGCACACGCGACGAGGATCTACACGTAATTTGAGAAGCAAGAGAAGCTTTTGCCAAATCAGAAATAAGGCCCCTAGCCTCGCCACTGGCTCGTGGCGCGGGGGTTTCAAGACCCTGCTTTGGTACGTTTCAGCGCTAGCATCCCACCCCATGGGGTCTGCTTTCGAAGCCAAGCTTCTTACGGCACATGGCACGAAGACTTCTATCGGTGATGAGAATACACTAATAATAACAGTCGTGTCGCTGTCCTGAGCTGCAATTTCATACGACCGGTACCAGTCCTGCCAGTACACCTATTTGCTAATGCGCCAAGCAACCTTCGTGGGTATTGTGAGGGCTCGCCCACAGGTACACAGCATGCACTTCACCGTCATCACTTATACCTCGTGAACACGTCGTTTTATTTACGTCTCATTCGTTGTCTCCGTCGTCTTCATCGTCTGTATCAGCATGAAGGGCTTTTCTTAGCTCAGCGGCGCATGCTTTCTTCTCTTGTAGCTTCCTGTCTATCAGGCTCGACGCATCCAGGCCCCAGTACCAGTAAAAGACCCTCTTCGAAGATAGACATGTCGGGATGGCGCTCGTTGAACAGATTGTACATGCCCTTTGATATTGGCCCGGCCTTGAAGAGCTAGTAGCTGTCGCTCTGCCATGTCTTATGCTGCAAGTCTCCCTCCCTCGTCGACTAAGTGCGCTTCAGCTCTTCGTCCGCGTATATCGTCAAGTACTCCTCAAGCGCCTCTTCATACTGCTGGAGATTTTTAAAATCGCGGAGCCCGTCAACAGGCCGAGACGTGAGTCAGTACGGTGGGGTCTGCATCTGCGCAAGTAGCGTGTGTGTTCACTCGAGGTCGATGATGGCTTGGATGTTCCATTGTTCGTCGACGAGGATGTCGCTCCGGTGCAAATCAGGCAAGCTCAAATAAAAGGGATTTTGCCGCTCGCCTGTATCGATTAACTGGCGCGTGATAGCTCGCAGCGCAGTAAAAGCAGCCATTTGGCGTTGGCTGTCCTCGACGTCCAACATTGCATTTGGCTGTCCCTGAAGCTTGGCATCTTGGAACGAGAGCAAATCCGCCACGTATGAATCCACCTCGGAGTAGATCCGCTGGCGAGGTAGCCGCGAAGAGGCGAAGAGACTCCCTCATTCTCTACTATGTGTATGTATAAGCACAATTGCCTGCTAGATGTGAACTAGGAACGGCGAGAGGAAAGATGTCAGTCGAGGTGCGTTGAGACCGCGAAGCTAGTAGTGAGCATACAATTGAGCCATCAGTCAGCCCAAAGACATATAATACAGAAGTCGGCACGTTCAGGGCAATGCTCCTGCAGCAAGAGATATGTCGCAATATCTGTCCGCAGCTTCTCTTCCGTATTACCTGTAAACGCTTGTTCCCGACACGATGCGAAAAGAGAAGCCGCAGGTGTACGTTTTTGCCAGATTGCAGTCGGACGAGAATGTCAACATTAAAGCTGCCCCATCCCCAAAGCTCGGATGGAGTAATGCGGCATTCTGGCACCTGCAGTAGGCCACAAATCATGACTTCCAGCTCGTGCTTTTGTTCGTTGACCGACGAGTGTGACTGCTGCCGGCGACGCGGGAAGTGCATCGACGCTAGCTTGCTTTCTTCACTCTCGATGACGGCGACCAGGAAGGATGAGTCGCTCTGCCATGATTCTGTGGCATTGAACGACATCGATTCAACCTTGTCGCGACTTTGTAAAGGAAAGGCACTGTGCGTATTCTCGCGTTGTGAACAGGAGCCAGCTCTGAATGAAGCGTCGTTACTGAGACGGGAGTCCACTCGCGGGCGTCTGTCCGCCTTTCATTGTTTTTCTTTTAAAACAACTGCCACATCGTTTGCGCTCTACTGAGAAAACAAAAGGTGCTGCTATTACACAGATTGATCTGCGATCTCCGTCCATGCCCCGGTGCTTATTCGCAGAATTAACCCTGTCAATAGTCAGTCTCTCTCGTTTGCAGAACTGGGCTCCTGCAGGAATTGGATAGCCAATTCATGGCTGTATCAAGCCACCCGTGGCGTTGATCTTCTAAAGATAAAGACCGGCTACAACTTTACATGGCGTCAATCTCAATGTCTTTGAGCGACGCCATAACTCATCAATGACACATGCTGGTACGACGGGGCTTGCCTGAGCGTCTTTGGCCTTTTTCTTTCACTTTTCAACTCCCTCGATGGAGCGTTGGCTGTTGTGGTGGCATGTATGTGTATCGTAATGGTCGTTCTTCTAGAGAGCCATCATATTCTATTCTCTTCTCTTCATTCAAGCCTCTTTACAGAACTACGGCTTGTATTTACATTGCATGCGTACGGTGAGGGACTGTTCTGTACAGCAACGACCAGTGATGATACTGCCTGAGCGCAGTCACTGTTCTTTGGCTTGCTCCGATATGTATATTGAACGAGAATGCGTTGACTTGCGATCCGCAACAAGATTTTGCAAGTGACACTGGCGAGTTTCCATACTCTACACCGGGCTAGCGGGGCGAGTGCGAGGAACAGAGTGCATGTATGCGCATGTTACCGCATGCGACCCTCGTAGGCGGCATGAGATTCAGACCGGATGCCACAACGAGCCCACAATATTCAAGTCTGGGATGAAGTACGGACGGGATGGCAAGTTTCAGTGTTCTCAAGTTGCAGAACGACTATGCAGCGAGTTCTTAGTGGACTGTGATGTGCAGCCAACAGTGAGTTACCCAGTAGTCACATGAAATAAGCCCAAGAACGCATAATCACTCGTGCAAGGTAACTGAACTGAATGCATCACACGGGTCATCCTGCTAGAAGACCCCATCGTTATTGCAAATGGTTTGGTAATCTTAGTGTATTATCTCCCTGACTGGCTTTGATTCTTGGTATAGCTGGCTTCCCCCCTCCTCAAGATCAAAGAAATAAATTAAAGTGAACCCG